CCCCAAAACCCCAAAACCCCAAAACCCCAAAACCCCAAAACCCCTAAACTTTCAATAATTTTGAAATAATTATATTTAACTAAGAATGGCCAAAGAAAAGTTGCCTCCTCCAGAAAGTGTTGATGATCTTAAAGGATGGGACAAGATTAGGAACCAAATAATCAATCACTACCTTGTTGTCCCAACCTTCTTATGATCAATTATTTATCTTCTCTGAGTCTTCCTCGTACTCTTTGCATTTGGGATCGCTGCCTTAGCTTCTGCAACAGGAAATTCAGACTATGAGCAAAGATATGATGGCATATGCCAGCCTTCTGTAGATAAGGGTGAGGACTGCACATTTACCTTGAAACTCGACACTACCTTAGATTCCCCAAACATCTATTACAAAATTGGAAATTTCTATGCAAACCACAGGAAATTTGTTAAGTCAAGAAGCTATACTCAGCTCAGAGGTGAAGGTGTCTCAAAAGGAGATGTCAAAGAATTTTGTGACCCAATCATGGAGAATGATGACATCCCTGTCTCCCTCTCTTATGCAGGAAACACTCTTAATTCTACTGATCTAGCTGCTCCTTGTGGGCTGATAGGGAAATACAGATTTACAGATGTCTTTGAAATCTCAGGAGGTCCCAGTAATGTTAAAATCTCTATGGGCGGCATTGCTCACTCTAATGACAAGAAACTCAAGTTTAAAAATAATGGAAAGGGTGAACAAATCCAATGGCTTGATTTCACCAAAGAAAGACTTATGGTTTGGTACCAAATGGAGTCATTCCCTGATTTTATGAAAATGTATGGAAAAATCTCTGGAAAAATGTCTAAAGGAAATTATACAGTTACTGTGAGTGATCAGTGGAATACGAAGTCATTTAAGACAGAGAAGTATATCTACCTCAGCACAGTAAACGGACTTGGAGGGACCAATGTCTTTCTCGGAGTTGTTTTCATTGTTCTCTCCTTTGTCGTCCTTATGCTCATTCTAACCCTAGTAATCCTAGAGTTTTCAAGAGGAAGCAAAGTCAAAGAAATTGCTGAATAAATCACCTTCAGATAATCCTAAATGATAATCAAGTTTTCAATACTTGCATTTATTTGGGGTTTTGGGGTTTTGGGGTTTTGGGGTTTTGGGGTTTTGGGG